TTTTGGAGGTATTTTCAAATCGGTCCAGCTCACTTAAATCTTAATATTTTTCCGAAATATTTTGGCGGACGTCTTAAAATATTATAAATTTTGCAATCGTGGCGGAAAAACCGCCACTTTTTTTGGTGATGCATTCTAATGTACATATGTATATATGTATGTGTATTAGGGTGTACAATTTTTAGGCAATATTTTTGTTCTCTGTGCTACCTGAAAATATGATATTTTATAGAAAATAAAAAATTATGCATTTGATAAAGAATTCTATCTGCCCGAAAACGAAAAATGACACTGAAGATGGCACAATGCCGAAAGCGGTTTGTCTGCAAACCAAACTTGACAACGGATGACGAAAATTCGTTCCAAAATAAATGAAAACAATTGTTTTCGGTCAGATTCCATATGTATTCAAATTCAATTAAAAATATCAAAAATGTTCCTTATGATTCATTTAAACCATTTTTGAGTGATAAGAGGCCTAGAATGGTGTCGGTTTTCATTTCATCAAATTTCAAATCACTCTGTACCGCTTAAAGAATTTTAACTTAAAAAAAATAAAAATAAAACCTTATTGCACATACTTGTACCATCCCAGTTTTTTAACTTAACTTACCATTTTGGAAATTCCAAATAACAGTGCAGATGTTATGACATTCAAATAATAGGTGGACACCCTAATTAAAAATATTATCAGCTTAAAGTTTTCTTAAAACTCTTTCGTTTGACACACATTTTTCGATATTTCATTTAGCTGGTGTATAAGTAAAACAAACTCGAATTTTCAACCAGGTGGCAATCTCTTTAAAAGTATTTTCAGACTAAAATCTTTTTAAATTTTTGCTATCTGGTATTTTGATATGTACGTATTAACTGATGAATTAAGTTCAATTTGATTTTTTTTTAACACATGGCAACTCTCCTAAATACAGTTCAGAAATAAATTATTTTCAAACCCATTTCGATTGACACCCATTTTTTCACAATCCATTTAGCTTAGTTAATAATTTTAATTAAATTTCTTCAGCAAATGGCAACTCTCTTCTGACACCCTAAAAAATTCTAAATATTCAAACTAAGCATTTCTTAACACTCGATATCCATATTGTAAAATTTCATGTAACTTGTGTATAATTAAAGTAAATTCGTATTTCAAAACAGGCGGCAAACGTCTTCAAATTTATTTTCGAACTAAAATCTCCTTAAATATCTTTTGTATGACTTTGTTATAAATATTTGAATTACCTGATGAATTAAGTTGAATTTTGTATATTTTTTAAACACGTGGCAACCCTCCTAAATATAGTTCAGAAGTAAAGGATTCAAAACACATCTTCATCTTTTAATAATTCAATTAACTTATTAAATAATTTGAATTTAGGCTTTTAAACTTGTGGCAACCCTCGAACACATCAAAAACATTCTAAATTATCAAACTAAAGTTTTCTTAAAACTCTTTTATTTGATACCCATTTTTAATATTTCATTTGGGCATAAAATAATTTAATTCGACTTTTCAAATAGGCGGCAACCCTCTTCAAAATATTTTCAAACTATTACCTTCTTAAACCTCTTTGCTCCGAAAATCATATGGTTATATCTTACATTAGAAATTAACCTATAATTAATACTGAAAAGCTATTAAATTTTTTATCAAGAATTTTAAATTGTGT